CTGTATCAGATGATTGGTCAGTTTGTTGTCGTGACAACCAGATTCAATTTTCTGGATATTTTTTCCCCAAGCAATTTTGCAGATTATTTCTTTGGTTGGAAAATTTCCGGGTTCTTTGGTATTCAACCGTCTTCTACCTCGATTGGCTGAAAGCCGTTCGCTTTTCATCCAGTCGGGTCCAAGTCGCTTGAATAGGGGCAGCTGTTGCACCCCAAAATTTGCCTAACCTATTCCTCACTTGGTTTATGTTTCATTACATTAGCATATCATTGATCTAGCATCTGCATAGCATAGCATTGTTCATATAGCAGGGGATCAAGTGTGGTTTATACCAAGAGGAGCCTATCTAGAGGTCTTGTTCAAGCTTGAGAGGTCACCAAATTCATCAGGAGGTGTTTTATGTTCTTGAGAAGTTTGGTTGCTTGTGTAGGGTTCATCTCCAAACCTGAGGGCCAATTGAAGACCATCAGTGGGTTGTGAAGCCTTGATCATGGATAGAGTGTGGATAGAGCTCATGTAGTGCCTTGAGGGTCATGAGAGAGCTCAGTTGAGTCATTATGCTATGTGTGAAGAGCTACAGTTGGGGGTGTTGCAATTAGGGTTTTGCTTGGTCAACCTTGAGTCAACTGTGCAATTGAAGGGGATCAAAAACTATTTCTAAGTCTTTGTGATCATGGAAAGTTGTGTTTAGATACATGAGGTTATATTGCAAGATCCATCCAAGAAGAAGTCAGAGTGTGAGGAGTTGCTAAACTAGGGTTCTCAGGGTAAAATCCCTTATTTAGTGCCTAACTTCAAGGCCACTTATCTCATGATGCAAGTTTCATCTCAACTTTTGGCCAACATGAAACTTGTAGAGAATGTTCTTAGCTTTAATTTTAGTACTAGAAGTCCTCCATTGGATTTATAGAACTCAAGTTATGATCTAGACAAGTTACAGGTCATCAGATGAATGTGAAACTTGTCTGTAAAAGTCAACCAACTTCCATGGAATGTTTGACCTAGAATGGTGTTTCTCCTTAACTTTTGGCAAACATTAAAGTTGTAGGTCTTGATCTTAGCTTTCCAAATTGTACTAGAAGTCTTCCATCAGATTTGTGGAACTCAAGTTATGAGGTTTGCAAGTCAGGGGTATTTTGGGAAAGTAAGATTATAGGTCATTTTGCATTATAGGTCATTTTCTCTATCTTGCACACTTCAAATGAAGTTGTCCAACACAAAACTTGCTCAAAATGGCATTTTTAGGTCAACCATGTATCCATGAGGATTTGATTTGGCTTAGGGTGAGACTTGGCTTGAAAGAGATTGACAAAAGGGGAATTAAAAGGCATTTATGTGGAAAAAGAACTCAAATTAAATCATGTGTGCTCAAATAAGACCAAATGAGTGCTCATTTTGATCAGAAAAACAATTTTGAACACAATGGCAATAGTGGAAAATGCATTTGAGGCATAATTCATGACATTTCACTTTCTTACTTCTTAAATAAGTAACACATCAAAGGTTGGCCTCATGATGGAATTAAGCTCTCCAATTGATCCCAACACTCTGCACAGTTAACAAGCATTGCAATTGAAGCTTCTTGGAGAAGTTTTGAGCTCAGAATCGTGCATAGCCATGGGTGAAATTTGCAAGAAAAAGTGAAAATTGGATCTCACTGCTTGGGCCTCCAATGGGCCTCTAAATCACCCAAACTCATTCTATATAAGTTCAGAGGAAGGTTCAGATCAAGGTTGGTGGTTATTTCGTGCTAGAGTCATAGATTGCAGAGTGAATTTTCAAGCTTCAAGTGAGAAATCGAATTTCAATTCTAGAGTGATTCAAGGCAAATTGAGGATTGAATCATATTCAGCATCAATCATAGAGTGTATCTGCACAGTTTGAAGCCAAGGATCGTGCCCTAACTGCTCCAATTTGAAGCTGCAACTCAGGTATGCAACTTTCAAAATTGTTGTAGATTCATGATGATCTAGCATGTTTAAGCATGAGGTTAAGGTTTAGGAAGATGATTAGATGGATTCTGGATCAAAATTGTGGAGTTTAGAGACAAATTAAGGTGTGAGCAATTTTCTGTTTGGATGCGAATTGGCCTGATTATTGAGAGTTAGCATGATCTAGATAGCTTATGATGATCTATGAAGTGTAAGGAGAAAATCTATGGATTTGGATTGAGGTTTGGTGACACTTGAAGATTTGGTGTGTTTTCTATTTGTGGTCGTGTTTCAAAACCTAGAAGGAATTAGGATGAATGAACATGATATTTGGAATCAGCGTGAAAAAACAGAGAGATCCATATAAGATTTGCCTAGTTTCCTTGACCTGCAACTAGTGGCTCACCGAAGAAGACGGCGGCTCAGCCACCGGAGCCACCGTCTGGTTCACCTGATTGTTTCCCTCCACCTGAGAATTCAAATGAGGAAGATGACCTCCCCACCCTTGGATCAAAGGAAGATGAAGACCAAGTCCTTCCATCCAACGCTTGTGATCTAACTTGAGAATTGGACTTTGACTGAATGAAACATTGCGTTTCATTTATGTGTTGGCAGCGCGTGAGCCCTTAGATGAGCTTACTTAGCCTCCAGATCCAACGCCCCTGATTTAATTCTCAGCTTTTATTGTTTTTTAATTCATTTTCTTTTTATTTTAATTGCTTGTTTCAATTTAAATTCATAGTAATTTCAATTTTGATCAGAAAAATAAAATTAAAATATGTGGATAATCTAGATTTAATTTTTGATTTTTTGGTGCTGTTACATTTTATTTTCATGCAATTTTCAATTTAATTTGATTTTTTGCATTTTTGTTTAATTCTTTAATTTTGGCTTATTTCTTCATTTTCTTGCTGATTTTTGTATGGCCATTTGGTATTGAATTTGAATGAGATTTTTTGCTGGTTGCTAGTATAGAGATGCATGATCCCTTAGGAATTATTTCATAATTTTTAGATAACAATAGGTTTTGTTTTGGATTAGGTTCCCTTGACCTTCCATTTTAGGGTTCCCTTTTGATACTTGATGATTTAGGAATTCTTTAGTACCCTTAAGCATAGTTTCAACCCTTGGTTTTTGTACTATAGATACCTAACACATGTAGGTTCCGTTAGAAAATCTTATAGGATTTTAGAAGTAGATTTGGTATTTTAAATAAATTTAATACTTAGGCTAGTTTTAAGATGCTTTCAACATAACACTTGCACTAGTTGAACCCCAATGGCGGCCTTTAGTCATGATAGGTTTGCTAATCTTCTTTGATGGTGCTTTAGACATATAGAAGTTTTTGTTTGGTTAATTGTGGTGTTTGGTTTTAGTATTTAGACCTCTTTTGGTAGCTTTCTTTGAGCTTGATCAATTAGAGTTTAGGAAGAGCTTAGTTTGATTTCTCTTTCTTCAAATAAACATGGATTGCCTTGATTGCCTTCCACTCTTATCCAATGATTCAAGGTCCCTATGTGGAAGCCTCATCCCTCCTTTGGAAGGTGTGGCATATCACAAGAGGTAGAACCTTTGAGGATGCCTATCTCTGATGTATGGTTGAGTGCCATGATGGATTCCCTTGGTTTCCATCATGCTTCCCATCATCATGAAATAATCTTGATGTTAACTCTCTTATCTCTTGATGGATCTTTTGGGAGCTTGAGGATGAAGACTTCTCTTGAAGATGGCTTAGGCTTGAAGTTGATTGCAAACTGCTTGATTGTTTTGCTGGTTAATCTGTTTTGCTGTTGAGTTGCTTGTCTACTGTTTTATCTGCTGTATTTTCTGATTGCTTGACTGTTATTGTGTGGCTTTGCTTGCTGGCTTAAGGTTGAGTTTGTCTCCCTTGTCTGTGTTTTGTGTGACTTGCTCTTGTTGCATTTCCTTCTTCTCTTATCGTTGCATTTATTCATATTTGGCTTGAGGTTGAGATGAGCTTGTGGAGGCTCCTGCCCCACATATATTTCCTCCCTCACTTGCATTGCATGCATTTTACTTACAATTATTTCTTTACAGTATTTCTTTTGCTGTTGTTTTCCTTTGCCATGTTCCCCTAGGAACTCTGACTTCTTTTGTTCAAGAGAAGTTATGACAGACATTAAGGTTCTAACCATGCATGATAACATTAGGTAGCTCCCTCGTAACCTCAACCATAGGATCAACTTTGCATGACAACTTTAGGATTGGATCAGTTCCCCTTTAGTGCGTCTTTTCTCTTTTCATCTTCAAACAATTTAAAATACAGTAATAAAGGTTAACTGACGTCGTACACTAAGAGCCTTAAGCTACTTGAGAAAGGGTTGTTGGAGAGTTTCTTTCCAACAACTTAGATTTTTAGTATGGCACCCTTTGGGTGACATGCGACGCATTCACTCTCAGGTCATAGTCTCTAGTGCGATATTGGTTGCAAACATCCATAAAAGATACTTCTTCTAAAAGACAGAAAAAAAGATCAAACATCTTTTTATCCTCTTAGACCTTTAATCCTCGGAAACCCTTTTCATAAGGAGAGTTTTGTTAACTCCCTTTTCCTAAGTCTCCATCGAGCGAGCTGCATACACCAACTGTTGGAACCGTCTGTTAACCCTACTCGGATAAAAAACAGTTGAACAAGCCTGTGGTCTTGTTAGCCCGAACTACGTTTGCTCTGATCTTTCGCACCGTGTAAGCACCGATTCACCTTCATACTTCTCCTTAGGAAGCTCCAAAATTGACCTTTCCACCTTCTCCTATGGAAGCTCCATATTTGTCCTTTCAACCTTCTCCTCATTGAGCACTTCAACTTTAATCTCGGACTTTTGATCTTCAATCTCGTCTTCTTCAACATCACTAGACCAGTGATGATGTGGCGGTGGGGAACAGTAGACATTGTGATTAGAATATTAAGCTTGGGTTGAGACTCGACAAGTTGAGAGAAAAAAATTGAATTCTGATTTAACGTTGAGTTGAGACTATAGGTTAAATCAGAATTCAATTTTTTCCTCTCAACTTGTCCAGTCTTAACCTAAGCTTAATATTCAAATCACAATGTCTACTGTTCCCCACCTTCGCATCATCTCCAGTGACGTTGAAGAAGGCGAGATTGAAGATCATAAGTCCGAGATTGAGGTTGAACTAGTCAATGAGGAGAAGGTGGAAAGGCCAAATATGGAGCTTCCAGAGGAGAAGGTGGAAAGGTCAAATGTGGAAATTCCTGAGGAGGAGTTTGAAGGTGAATTTGTGCCCACATGGAAGAAACGGGTTACCTTTAGGGCAATATTAGTGAGCTTGGTTTTATCAATCTTGTTTACCTTCATCCCAATGAAGCTTACTCTTACAACCGCCCTTATTCCTCCTCTAAATGCATCGTCTGTGTTGCTGGGACTCATGATTGTGAAAACATGGACTGCATTGCTCACGAAAGCTGGAAAAGTTAATCAACCAAAAGACAAAAATATCTTTAAGTTAGATTTTAATTAATATTTTATTATAAATATTAATATATAATTATGTATGTATATATATATATATATATATATATATATATATATATATATATATATATATATATATATATATATATATATATATATATATATATATATATATATATATATATATATATATATATATATATATATATATATATATATATATATATATATATATATATTATTTTTAGAAAGAGTAAAAAACAATAATCTTTTTTTATAAGTTTTTCACACAGTACGCGTCGATGCATGACTTTTCCAGTTGACGCATCGCACAAAATTTCTGGAAAATTGTTGGGGCTGGAATTTCACAATAAATAGTCTCTGGCATTAGGAATTTGGATGTGTACTTGATTTTTTTATAGTGAAAATACCTTTAGCTATTGCATTCTATTTTGGGGGAGAATCTTAATCCAAAGCCTAATAGTGACGCCTTTGTGTACTTTGTCAGGGGTGGTATGTCAAACATGACAACTGGCTTATATTTATTTACTTTAAAAAATTATATGGAGGTTGTTATCTTGTGAAATGGTTGATTAACTATTCCAGCTTTCGTGAGCAATGCAGTCCATGTTTTCACAATCATGAGTCCCAGCAACACATACGATGCATTTAGAGGAGGAGTAACGGCGGTTGTAAGAGTAAACTTCGTTGTGATGAAGGTAAACAAGATTGATAAAAGCAAGCTCACAAATATTGCCCTAAAGGTAACCTGTTTCTTCCATGTAAACACCGATTCACCTTCAAACTTCTCCTCAGGAAGCTCCACATTTGACCTTTCCACTTTCTCCTATGGAAGCTCCATATTTGGCATTTCCACCTTCTCCTCATTGAGCACTTCAACTTCAATCTCGGACTTATGATCTTCAATCTCGTCTTCATCAACATCACTGGACCAGTGACGATGCGGCGGTGGGGAATAATAGACATTGTGATTAGAATATTAAGCTTGGGTCGAGACTCGACAAGTTGAGAGAAAAAAATTGAATTCTGATTTAACGTTGAGTTGTCCAGTCTCAACCCAAGCTTAATATTCTAATCACAATGTCTATTGTTCTCCACCGCCGCATCATCTCCAGTGAGGTTGAAGAAGACGAGATTGAAGAACATAAGTCTGAGATTGAGGTTGAACTAGTCAATGAGGAAAAGGTGGAAAGGCCAAATATGGAGCTTCCTGAGGAGAAGGTGGAAAGGTCAAATGTGGAGATTCCTGAGGAGGAGTTTGGAGGTGAATTTGTGCCCATATGGAAGAAACGGGTTACCTTTAGGGTAATATTTGTGAGCTTGGTTTTATCAATCTTGTTTACCTTCATCACAATGAAGCTTACTCTTACAACCGCCCTTATTCCTCCTCTAAATGCATCGTCTGTGTTGCTGGGACTCATGATTGTGAAAACATGGACTGCAATGCTCACAAAAGCTGGAAAAGTTAATCAACCAAATGACAAAAATATCTTTAAGTTAGATTTTAATATTTTATTTTATATATATATATATATATATATATATATATTATTTTTAGAAATAGTAAAATACAATAATATTTTTTATAAGTTTTTCACACAGTACGCGTTGATGCATGACCTTTCCAGTCGACGCATCGCACAAAATTTCTGGAAAATTGTTGCGGGCTAGATTTTCACAATAAATAGTCTTTGGCTTTAGGCATTTGGATGTGTACTTGGCTTTTTTTATAGTGAAAATACCTTTATGTTGCACCCCAAATTTTGACCCCTTAGAATCTCATTATCATTTTAGGAGCATACTCATGAATTTTCTAACCTTAACCTAGTGCAAGTCTGTCTTTGTCAAATTGCAGATGAATCAGGGTTTCGTGCAGTCAAAATCGAAACTTCAGGTTTTGTGATTAGTCAATGTTTTGGGCTCATTCAGATAGGAAACAAGGTCAAGGGTATTATATAATGTCAATTGAGAAGCCAATGTGAGGTTGTTACCCCCGAATTCAGAGCAGTGCATTTCAAAGAACCCGATTAGGGTTTTGGACCAGTAAAAGTCAACCGTAGTTTGACTTTGATATTGGAAGATGTTTAAATGGTGGGATTGTGATTCATGAAGTTCATATAGCTTAATAAAGTTCATCCAAGAAGTTTCAAAGTCTCAGGAGGCCCAGAATGTCAACAGGCGACTCGGTAATCACCGATCGGTCGTACGGTTGACCGAAAAGCCAACTCTCCAAATTTTAGGAATTGGACTTCAAGTTGCGAAACAAAGTTGTTCCTTATGTCATATTGGACTTGCATATCAATTTTCATGACCATTGGATCAAGAATGAAGGAGTAACCGAAAAATCGGGAAATTAGGGTTTTGAAAGGGGCTAAACCATAACTCCTTAACCACACATCCAATTGAGTTGGTTAAAAGCTCATTTGGAAGCTCTTGACAAGTCCTACAAAAGTCCCTAAGTGGTCCATGATCATAAAATGCATAGATTTGGAGTTATGATCAAATTCATTTCTAGAGGGGAAAAAGACTTAGAGAAATTTCACTTTTAAGTTCATTTTTTAGCAACTTTGGAAGGCTTTTTGGCCAAGATCCTTTGGGAAATTGAAACTCATGAAAACATGAATTTTTTAGAGCTATTTGAGGGCTTTCTAAAAAGTACTATCACATCTCAAAAGGATTTGTGAGCTGAAAGTTGTGGTCATGGCAAGTTGGTGGTTTTTCACTTTAGTCCCACATTGCCCAATTTCAAAAATCACCTCCTTCATCAAAATTGACCAAACTCAGCTGGTGAATTATGTTATATATGATATGTAGAGAGTTTGAAGCCTGAAAATATGAAAAATATGCAGAGGGGATGAATTCTCCAAGCTTTGCAAATTGCCTTGCAAGTTGCACCAAAAGTGAAGCATGAGGTGTAAAACAAATTCTGAACCAGCGCTCAAGCTATGCTTCTAGCCTGAAATTAGCCACACTAAACCATCATTGTTCTTGACTATTGAGGCCTGCCTTGCAGCCAAGGAAACCCTCTTATAGAGGTTTGCTCCAAAAAGTGAAAAACCTTTCTTCAAAGTGAAGAAATCTTCAAATCTGCCCCCTCACTCCTTTGCCTATAAATAGAGACCTCCCTCACCTCATTTTGAACATCAACAATCTTCTAAAAACCAGAAGAAACCTCTGCCCTTGCACTTTGCCTCAAAACTTCAAAATTACAAAATCTCATTTTCCACCAAAAACACAAAAAGTCTACCTTGCTACTAGGGCTGCCAAAACCATTTCTCTATACTAAAACACCCCAACAATCATCCATGCAATCCCTAAATATGGTATAGAAGGTGTCTAAACCATTAAACCATCCAAAAACTTCACCAATCAAAAAGTCAACTTCATCACCAAGTTACTTTGACCAAAAGCTACAAATTCTACCAAATCTTGTTTCAAGCACTTGCCTAGTGTTTTAATCATCCTAACACCTCTTATATATTGTTTTTCAACTGTCCAAAGTGTTAGAATTCATTGGTGGGACCTATTTCTCCAACTGTCATCATATTTGCATATTGCTTCAAAGTGAAGAAAAGACTCAAGACAAAAAGGTAGATTGAAGTTCTCTGGGTTTCTTGATTATTCTAGCTTGTTCAACAAAGTCTACAAGAGGTATGTAGCTTATAAACATTGCCATTTGCATCATTTTCCATACTTTGGTATTTTTGTGCAATATTGTGAAATATGAACTATGGACTTGCATTGATTTTCATGGCACTTGATATTTTGATGAATGTAAGGATTTGATGAGTCTTAACATGTGTGTTTGACTGGTGCTTGCCAAGTTTCAAATATTAGTATGTTGAAATGGTTATTTTGCTGTCAAAACAGTTTTGGAGGAGTTGTTAACTTTGTTTTTGCTAAAAATGTAAGTTTGGTTGAATTTGATGTTGTGTTTGATTTCTGATGTGGTTGGGATCCTATCAGCCATTAGGTTATTGTTGGTTTTAGGAGATGTTCAGGTTTAGCTGGTGTCAGGGCTAGGTCCCTATTATTTTAGATGTTTAGTGAATGGTACCTAAGAATATTAATCCAGGCCAGTTTTGAATGACCATTTGATGTGAAGTTGGTCTTCTTGCTGTCAAAGCTTGTTAATCATGCTAAGGTTTAGTTTTGTATGCTAGGATTTTAACAATGTCAGTCTTTAAAGCATGGTATTATGGTTGTTTGGATGTTTGGTACTGTTATGCCAAGAAGTTCATATTTGTGTTGAAAGTTTGCTGCTGTCATAAGCTGGTGAGTTGTCAGCTGCTGTTGACTTGGACTTTGTCATGAGAGGAATTCATAGCTGTGTTGGTCAGGTTTTGTTCTTAGGGTTTGAGCTTGCCAACTCATGGCTGTTTATTTAAATATGTTGCTCATACTAAGCCTACTTGTTTTATGGTAGTTATCTTTAAAGAATAGAAGGTGAGTTTAGTATTTGATGAGTGCTTTGTAAAAGCCAAAGCCGTCATGAGGCATTGATTTGAAAATTGTGTGGTATTACAATGATTAAGACTTTCATTCTTGTAGAGCTTGTCAACTCTGACCTGACAAATGTTAGGGCTGGTTTTACTTTTACATTGCTAAAGTTGACTACTGCTGGATGAATCATAAGCTGCTTGCATTTATGAGCTAGATTTAAATTGGCTGCTACATTTCAGTAAGAAGTATGGTGTGTATGATATTTGCAGTTGATGTTAGAAAGGCATGAGGGCCATTAAGGGATGTTGGTTGAGATGGCATACTATTGCTTGTAGGTCTGGAATTGGCTTAAGTACTGTCTTGTTTCTCAAAACCTCAGTCAATAGTGCAGCTTTAGGACAGTTGTGATTTTTGAGGACAAATTGGATTTATGTTTTTTTTATTTGAAACTTGTGTACTGAGGGTTGTTTGTGTGTCTGCTTTCAAACCACCCTCTTGAATCCTTATGATTAAGCTTCTAGTTGTGCTGTTTTCAAGAGTACCTTGCTAACTGTTGGATTTATGTATGAGAGTGTGAACATA